CACTCCCACGGCAAATCTGAGGAAATGTCCATGGGCAAGGTGGATAGTGAAATGGAAATATGCATCTTGGAGGTCGAGGGTTGAAAACTAATCTCCCTGCTCCAGCGTCGGAATTATCATTGGAAGAGTAACCATCCAGAATTTCTGTTTCTTGATGAACTTGTTTAAATGTCAAAGATCGAGGATAGGGTGCCATCTGCCATTTTTCTTTTCTGTCAATAAGTAGTTGGAGTAAAACCCTTTCCCTCTGTGTTGAGGCAGTACTTCCTCTATCACTCCTAGTTGCTTGAGGTGTTGTACCTCCTGACAGAGTAAATGTTCGTGAGAGGTGTCCCCAAAGAGGGATGGGGTGGAAGGGTGCGTGGGAGGTAAGCGAGGAAGGGGATGGCATAACCCGATCTGATAATTTCCAGGATCCATATGTCTATAGTGATGGCTTCCCAATTGGCAAGGAATGGATGTAGACAGTGTCCAAAGAAATGGATGGTTGGAGTTGGCTCTGGAGAGGGTGCGAGGCTTTCTATACCCTCGAGCAAGACTTCAAATTTGTTATTTGAGTTAGGAGGGTGGGTCGCCATTGTTTGTGGAAGGCAACGTCGTTGGGTTCTGGGTCTATGGCATTGTTGTTGCTGTGTATATTGTCTTAAAGGTTGATGTTGCACAAAGGTATGGTAGCATGGTTGTTGATATTGCTGATGCTTATATTGTCTCTTTTTTGTGACAGGTGTTTCGATGCCTAGAGATCGGAGTGTGGTGGATGAGTTCTTCATGAAATGGAGGACCTCATTGGTCATAGAGGCGAAGAGTTTGTCCCCATCGAGGGGATATCTTCAACAGTGTTCTGTATCTCCTTGGGAAAAGAGGAATAAGCAAAGGAATAATCAGTTTGAGGTTTGCAGGTGATGCAAGATATCAGGTTACTCATCACGTAGAATCGGTCTGCAGGCAGGAAAGCTGTCATAGAGATTGAATCCAGCCGTGCTCCTATAAAATGTACTATCCTGGTGGGTGACAAAAAGAACTTATCTTCGTTTATGCAAACACCTACAGTGGCAAGAAGGCACAAAGGAAACTCTGTTGCTGATATAACTTCTTGCCAATATTGGCCTACCAAAAGCCAATCATCCAGGTATGGAAATACCCTATATCCCTGATGTCTCATGTGGGCTGCTACCATGGTGAAAACTTTTGTGAACACATTTGGAGCTGCTGTGAGCCCACAGCGAAGGACACAGAACTGGTAGTGCTCTTGGTCAACCATGAAATGCAGAAATCTCCTGTGTGATGGGTGAATGTCCATGTGGAACCATGCTTCCTCTATGCTGAGAGCCGCAAACCACACTCACTCCTGAAGAGAGGTTTATAGTGTAATCATCCTGAATTTCAGCTTTTGGATAAAGATGTTGCATTGCCAAAGGTCCATGATGAGGTCCATGTCTTTTCTGAGGGTTAGAAAATATGGGGAGTAGAACCCTCTTCCTTGGTACTCCCTTGGGACCTCTCTATCACCCCCTGGTGTAACAAGGATTGATGAGAGGGGTCCCTGAAGGGGGGTCAGGCACGTGTTTTGTGAGGAGGGAAAGAAAACTTTATGGAGTATCCTATGTGCAAGTGTTGACATGCACATCAAAAATGGCCTTTGGCCTATGGTTGGGAATACATGGAGGGTGCAGCAGTGAAGGGAGCTGAGAAATGAGACCTCTGAATCCTTTGTCACTTATGAGAAAGATTCACGTGGATGCTGGTAGTATGGGATATGCAAAGGGGATAGTCGTGGTCAAAAGGGCTATTCCTAGCATTTCCTCCTGGGGGCTGGTGTGTAAATCACAGGGTGGATCTCAAGTCCTTTAGAGAGCGTAGAGACTCATCTGTCTTTTCATTAAAAAGGCTGGACTTGTCAAAGATCTTGACAGGAGCTACGAGACCCTTTTGCATGACCAGTCCTGGGGCTAAAGATCTGGATGCTGTATCTGTGGCATCTACCGCAGCCTAGAGAGCCACCTTTGCTACCAGCCTCCCCTCATCCAGAAAGGACTGGAATTGGGCTCATTCTTCCATGGAGAGTTTGTCTTTACATTCTGTAGGCCTGGTGTAGGTGTTAAAATTGTATTTTGCTAATAAAGCTTGGTAATCAACTATAAAAAACTGGAGGACTGCAGAGGAGAAAACCTTCCTACCCAGGAGGTCCACTCTCTTTGAGCCTTTATGGGCCAAAGTAGATTTTTGGTAGCGTGGCTGAGCTCTCTCTGTAGTCACCTGTACCACCAACAAGTTACAGGCAGGATGAGAAAACAAGAAGTCAGCATCCTTGGCCAGCACAAAATAGCATCTTTCTTTTTGGCATAGGGGCACAAGATGCTGTGTGTGCTAAACCTCTCTGGCTGGTTCTAATATGGCCTGATTAGTTTGGAAGGGCCACCCTGGTCAGTCTCTGTGGTTGTAAAATGTCCAGTAGTTGATTCTGAGGGTCCTGGACCTCCTCTAGAGGAATTTGTAGATCATTAGCAACCCTGTGCAACAACTCCTGGTATTGCTGGTGGTCATCCAGTGGAGAGGGCAATGAAGGCGTGACAGTGGTGTCTGGAAAGGATGATGAGGCTCCCATCGGAACCGGTTCTGGTTCTTCCTCCTCATACACATATGGAACCAGCTGATGAGAGGAGGAGGAGTGGTATGACTCCTGAGAGGGGTCCGGGCACCTGCAATAAGGAAAGATCCATTGCTCATGGTGGCCCCCTGGGGAATCAATATTAGGTGTCCCTTGGAGGGTCATAACCTGACAGATAATAGTGTCTCGACTGTCTGTTAGGGCTCCTGTGCCTTCGCAGAGATACTGGTGCAGCTATCTCCTCCAACTCCTCTGATTCCATAAGTACCGGGGCACTCCTGTGCGATGGATAGAGATGGGACTTCTCTTGAGACAATGGTAACAATTCCCCCTCCAGGATAAGGATATCTCTCAGGAGGGCAGGGCCCAAAAGGAGTGGAGACTGCAGGTAGGGGAAGAAGACATCCTCTGACGTTACAAAGGTCTCCACACAGCCCTGGGTCTGAGAAGTTCCCATAGAAACTCCTGAAGAGCCCAGTTCATCTGATGCAGCCAGTCTTTGGATAGATGAGATGGTACCTATGATGAATACTGTCGGAACCAGCGGCTCCTTTTTCCTTGCTTCTTGAAACCCGGGACCCTGGGCACAGTCCAGGGACCGAGGACGATTTCCCCTGACTGGAGGGGGGGAGTATTCTATTCTATACTAACTAGAGTTCCTAAGCTAAGATATAAACTATTTACAAATACATTTTACAGGCTGTGCAATAGCAGAGGACATGATTCTGACTCAGACCATGGGGCAGTAAGAAGAAACTGGAGAGGTGTCGAGCCACACTGCCTCTTATGCCCTCAGTCAGGCGCATGAGGAATGTTACTGTGTATGTGTGGGTCAACGGCCACTGCTTTGAAGAAACTCCAGACTCAGGCACTTGGCATGCATGCGTACCCCTGGCGTGGGTTTAGCAGGTCAGATCACAGCCAGAATGGTTATTAGGGTCACTGCGCATAGGGCTTGGCCAGCAGGGCCATAGCGGGTATGCTGGTCCCTAGGTCTATTTCACACATGGGAAGAATATCTTTTATTGAACCAACTTCAATTGGTGAAAGAGACAAGTTTTCAAGCTACACAGAGCTCTTCTGTAGAGATCACCTGAAGAAGAGCTCCATGTAAGCTCAAAAACTTGTGTGTGTCTCTCTCTCTATCATGACTGGGAGACAGATTATACTCATTTTACAAATGGGGAAACTGAGGCATAAAAAGGTCAAGAGACTGAGCTGTGCGGGAGTCCTGCCTTCTCAATCCTTTGCTCTAATCAATAATCATTTGCATTGTGTTTTCCTTCTAAAATCAGCTGTTTCCCCCATTACACATTAGTGCTGAACGTGAGCCAGCAATGATTTAATAGCTTGGAAGGCAGAAATATGAGTTTGTAGAAAGAAGCAAGAAATCTGATTGGCAGAAATATAATCAGCTAACCTAACTTTGTTAAGGTCTAGTTCTGCACACCCATGGAGGGAGGGGGGAGAATATCTTACAGTGTGAGTGCCCTCTTGCAAGCAGTAGGATGGTAACCAAAGCAGAACAATTTTGCCACCTACAAAGCAAACAAGACAACTCCACTGTAAGTGGTTTTCTTATAAATCGCTCCTTAGCGGTCAGTTCCTTTTCATTTTGTTGCTGATTAAATAAGGTTGTGAAAAGGAGAAAACCTGGCCACAATAGAATTTCTGTCTGGGAGGGGAATGGGCCTCTTCACTAATGTTTTGAGATCAGCACAAGGTGATGAAACAAAAGGGCTTTAGAATGAGGGATAAGGCTGGCTGAGGGGGAATTATTTACCATTTTTAGTTATTACTGAGTTCTGACAACTTTTTCCCTTATCAAATCTTTCTTTTTGAACTGTGCTTATCCCATAATAGGTAATGGCTCATCAATTTGAAAATAAAACTTTGTTGACTGCAATAGTGAGCTGATAAATTTATTCGCTTGTTAAAATAAAAAAAAGCAATGAAAAGGAATAGCAGTGAAAGCCCTGAAAGACATCACTGTGCTTCAGATCAGACCAGATATGAGTTGCTCTTTTCCTATTGGCTAGAAATGCTGGTGACCAGTAAAAGGTGATTGCACCTTTTATTGACAATTGACATTGTTGCACCTAACGTTCCAGCCTCCATCTGTTTTTAATCTGAGTATAGCTATTTCTGGAGTCAGTGCTACACGGAACAGTTTGAGAGCTGCTGCTGAGAAATGCTGTTTTCTAACATACTTAAGCTGCTGTTTTGAGATGGGAAACGTTGCCTTTTACTGAAGTTGAACATTGTTAGGAATCTCCAAAGGGCTGCTTTGAATCTGATAAACAGAAAGCACGACCTTTATCAGCTCTTCAATAAACGGAAAAGCCCCATCCAAAACTAATAAAGCCAAATATTTACTGGGCAGGTACATTACCAAGCATTCCAGAAGAAGGTGGATTGGGCTGAATTTCCTCCAGCGAGTTCTCCTGCAGAATATCCCAGAGCTGCCACTGCATTTTTGGGTTCAGGATATAAAAGGGCTGTTCCGGATGCCTAGTACGATACACCTTGTAGTTTGCAAAGAAACTGTAGTCTGGTTTTCTGTACCACTAAAACAGAATTAACAAGTCAGATCCTTTCCCCCTCCCCTCAAGGACAAGATCTCTCACAAAACACCTAAGGAATCTATTATTGTTCTGCACTGCTGTGGGATGCAGTAACTTATCTTTCATGTAACAGGTTGCCCTTTGAAATTCCACCTGCATTCTAATTCAGAGGGCAAGGTGCTGATGGAAGAGCTATCATGCAAGAGACAGGTGAGCCCATGGCACCCACAACAGAACACAAAAGTCTACAACAATATCCACTATGTAACTTTAAAGATGCTGTGAAAGAAATTTCTTTACAAGTGGAATGTAATTTGACATGCAATCACACCAGGCTGTATTGCAATTCATAAAGCAATGCAGAGAACTGGCATATCCCCCCCACCCCGCCTTCTTGCAGTTTCTATTATAAGACACCCTCATACTGAAGACTGACGGGGAATCATCTCATCTTTTAGTAGATTGTTATGGAGTTCTAATCCTTCTAAGTTTCTCATCTCTAATGCATTAAGATCTTCCACATGTCAGTGGTGGGTGTGTCAGTGATCCAGTTCACAAAAGTGTCTTACCAACTATTTCATTTTTATTTGCATTTAGGGTCTGATCCAAAATTCACTGAAGTCAGTGGAAAGAACTCCAAGGACTTCAATGGACTTTTGGATCAGGTCTTTAATGTCTTCCTGATATTTAAATTGGGAGATTCAGGGAGAAGATTTTGCTACATGAAAGCGAGCAGCCCACTAGCAATAAAATCTGTAAAAGATCCAATTTCTTTTCCGTTTCATTCTCAAACATTTTAGGAGATACTACACTGTATCGTCTCTCCTTCTAGAATACCCAGCTGGCAGGACTGTTCATGTGGCCTAGAAAGACATTGAAAGGACAATCTTACGTGCAGTGAGTCATTTTTATACCATTCTTAATTGTTATATTAATCTCAGAGAACAAAAGGTCATATTCCAAGGCTGGTACACAAGCATCTTTGTCACAACATTGCATCAGAAGATGATAATGTACAGTATGTGCAGTGAACTGCAATTGTGTGTATTTGTGAGCTTTCAAATTTATAAGCTTTCCTCTCACTACCTTACTTCAGTAAAAATACTGAAGGAGGGCTTATGTTTCATTAAACTCTCGGACCATCTAGAAGAGAGGTTTTACTAGGCAATAAGTACCAGCCTAGCTCAGTAGAGGCTCTTAAGCATGCTAAATATATACCCTTGCTTCTTTGGGGGCGTAGAACTAGACAAAGGCTTGGACATTCAGATGACATTTTATAAGCAATGTCTCTGATCTAGGAAGTCAGGGTGTGACCTAAAGACTAAGGAGAGACAGCAGAGCTGAGGACTGTAGCAGATGTACACTCCAAAGGATCAGCAACCCTTTAGAGATATAACTCTTTGTGTGTTACAAATAGCACCATGGGTTACTGAAGCTGCACGAATTTTAAAAATCAAATTAACTTTTCACTGTTTGAGGTTTGTTTCCCTTCTACATTGCTCTCAGCTTTAACAATAAACTAGTTTATAAACACTTGTTTATAGCTAATTTCCAAATGACTTCACTTAGATTCTGATGCAGTAGCACAATGCTGCGAAGTGGGGTTTAGGAACACTGCAGGGACTCCTTGTTTAGTCGTATCTGTACCGATTCAAAGTGAAGATTGCATGGAAGTGTTTTTATAATCCTTGGCTTTCTAAAAGTTAAAAACGATTGTGAATGGGAACCAATCTGGTAGGTTACCTCTGAGCACACTTCCCGCATCGGGCTCCGCACATGAGATAGGCATTTGCTCACCTATCTCCTCCTGGTTTGTGGATTGCTCCGGGGCTTAGGTTGGGGATAGGTGTCCAGACACCTAGAGTCAGGTGGCAGTGGGCATGCTTGGAGGCAGAAACTTATTCTGGAGGGAACTTTTAGGCTGAAAATGTAGGCGTCAAGTTTAGGTGCCTACAGGATTTGGCAGGAGTTTTGCAAATGGTAGTGGAGCCTAAAAATGGGATTTACGATCAGGACCTAAGTGACGTGTTCCAGGTGACACAGAAAGTCTGTGGCAGAGCAAGGAATTGAACCCGGGCCTCCTAGGCTAGCACTGGTGCAATGTGCCTCTCTTTCTGAAAGATAACTTTCAATCACACAGTCCAGAGTTTTCAGTCCTGCTCCTGTAGAGGGGGGACAGGTGTTTCAGAGTTACATATCTTCTGTCTGCTAATTACACTGGACTGGCTTTTGAAGCTGTTGCTGTTTATCATTTTGCATGCTTTGCTTGCTGAGATTGTTTGATGTAGTATAATCCTTAGCTTTGTTATTGCGCCACTTGAGTGATGGTCCTGTGCTTTCTGGCCCTGCAATATTATGCTGAAGCTCCATAAATTAGCATATTGACAGAATATTTACTTATTATTGAAACTGTCAAGGTAAGTTATTGTTTTGTACAATGATGTAACTATTGACTTCAACTGAGATACCCCAGTGCAAATCAGGAATGAGGAGACATGACAGAAAAGGGAGAACAATGAGGCCAAATCAAAGGATGCTGCAGTATCTCAGATATTGAAATTCTTCTTCAGTGCAAATGCTGAGAGGTATTTTTAATTATTTTAAAAATGGAACAAACTCTCCCATTTCCGACTACACAGACTGCACAATCAATAAAAACGTCGCAAAAAGAGAAGAACATCCCTTGATTTTATTTTCTTATAATTTAAAGGGAGGAGATGGTTCAAAGCTTCTGACTTCTGATTGGATGAGGGGGGCACCACAGGATACCGTTCTGCAATAAAGTTCTGAATATACTGCCAACATGGGTGATCTACCCAATTACTAAGAGAGGGAGTTGTGATGACTACTAATGGAGCTATTGTGCAGCTACTCTGCAGTCACTACACAAGTAACTCCAGTTTATGAATCCAATACCTACAGAAATCCAGCTGACATGAGTAAAGGAATTTGCTGCCCTTTTAATAGAGCTTTCTTATCAATTATAAGCCATTAAAATATACCTTATGACAGACTGGTGCTTTCAAAACCAAAATGGCCACTGTGGTCAGACTGTCCAGCCTAACGTATGGATTCTTGAGACAATGGAGACTAGCACTCTCCCGCAAGTTTGAGAATGTTATATACAGTAGTGGTCACCTTAATGTGAGATCAGTCAATGGGAAACTTACTGTGGCAATAAAAGATAGACAACTCAGGGCCCTTCACCCTTGTCTGGAAAAGACACACATTTCCTATCAGTAGGGCTATGGTTTTGTCATGGAAATGTTTTGTCATGGAAAGGGGGCAAGCCAGGGATCTCGGGGGTAGGGGCAGAGAGGAGAGAAATGGACAGCGAACCCACTCTGCACTCTCTATGCACCTGCTGCTCCTGACCTGTGGGGCTGGGCCCGGCTCCCCACTCTGGGCATTGCAACCTAGCACACAAGGTCGCAGCATCACATGGGGGCATTTCATGAACTTTACTCAAATTCACAGTTTCCCTGACTGCTGTGACAAAAATCACAGGAGCTGATCGCATACCGGGATGGAAAAAAGGAACTTGCGAACACATACATTGCTACATCTAGCATGCCAGAGGAATAAACAACAACTTTAAAAGGAATGACCCTCAACATGCAGGCATGTATGGCAAGAAATGAGGTCACAGCTACCCTGTAAATCTCATTTACAACACTGTTCTTCACTTACCTCATTAATTTCAGCATGATAAGGTGCTGGATCCCAGACAATTAAGATTCCAGTATTGTACAACGTATCTGTAAGGAACTTCTGCTCTTCGACAGTTACAAGCTTGAATGAGAAAAGGAAAGATGATTTCTAACACAGCAGAATATGTATCAATCTGTGGAAGGTCAGGCAGTAAAGTATTACTAAGCATGGCTATACCCATCGACTACTAAGGGCGAGGTGGTAGGATTGGTTGAAGTTCAGAAAGTGTTCCATTATCCTTGGATTATACATGCTATAGAAAAGTATTTCCTCGTGTGAGCTAGCAACCATGCCCTGGCCTTTTAATTCTGCTGCTACTCCTGCCTCCAGCAGGTCAGGATGTAGTGGAGTGTCAAAGGAGCAGTGGTTGCATACCTATGCATATCAAATCTCCCTTTCTACCTGACTTTACTCAGAAAGGAGAGGATATGGGCAACACACAGCGGCTTGGAGTGCATGTGGACTTCAGCCACTATAATTACAGTCACTCAAATTAGTCGGGAGAAGAGTAGTAGTGGTAACTGAGACATCTAATTCTACATGCATTTCTCCAACTCTGTTGCAATTATAGACACAGTGCCAAAAAGGAAAAACATATGGATAGGGTAACAGGCTGCTCAGATCACATTTCACTAAAAAAAAAAAGCATGCATGGGCCAAGTTTTAACAATCCACACTTCACAGTCACGGTAAATACAAACCCACAGAGTTACACTCAGAATAATGTTCCAAGTGTCAATTTCCCCAAACAGCCACTGGTGCTAAGTTACAGTGACAAAAATCAGCCAGGGGCAGCTTTATCCTTTTAGTGATCCAACAACTGCCACAGGGCAGGTGAGAGTTGAACTTGGGGAAGTCCACTTTGGAGCTCTGTTTACAGGAGAAACAGAGTTGAATGAGGGGCTTGTCCTTTTATTAATTAGCACAATTCAAACAGACGCTGCTTGTTAACATCTGGTTAGGAAGAGGGCAGTCAGAAAACCCTGACTATGCCAGACAGCCCCTCAGAAATCCAAGCCAAACGGGAGCTATTTCAGAACGAGTTGATTCATCTTTTTAAATATGCTATTTCCCCCTCCCCCCCGCCTCCCCAGCCATTGCTAGCATCCCATCGCTATTCTGGCTGTCCCCATTACCAGTACATCACAACCATGTCTGCCTGGCCATTCCAGATGCTTATTATTCTATAACTGAAAAAGAGTTTGCTGGTATATGTTCTTAATTTAAAAAGAGAGAGAGAAAATTAGGTTTGAGGCCCAGAGTCCTGCCATGTGTACTGCATAGCTTCCTCAGCCTATACCATTTAATACATTTTAGTCACTTTTAAAAATGTGGCTGTCAAGTTTGAAAGTGCAGCTTGGTGCACACAATCCTTTCCAAGTGCAAATGACAGGATTTAAGTTTTTAACTCCCAGGATTGTGGGAGCTAAAAGCATTTGGAGAGGACGGGATTGCAGGGAGAGGGCGAGGAAGAGTGGCAGAGAGTAGCAGTGACCGTGGTGTCAGAGTGGGGTGAAGGCAGGAAGGGAGGAGGGACACAGCAGAGCCGAGGGAGAGGGGATTCTTGCCAGATATTTTACAAAACAAAATGGATCCTTTTTAGCACCATCCTGGGCAGAAGAGAAGGTGGGCCAAGAAGAGCATTTCAGGAAAGATTCCAAGTGTTGGTAGGCATAGGTAGAAGGTGCAAGACTCATGGTCCTTGACACAGGGTCATGAAGTGTCTAAGGGTCTAAGCTGACAGAAGAGAGTTCTCCCATTGGCTTAATAACTCCACCTCCCTGAAAGGCAGTGACTATGTCAGCGGGAAAAGCTCTCCCACCAACATAGCGCTGTCTACACCAGCGCATAGGTCGATATAACTACGTTGGTCAGGGGTGTGGATTATTCACACCCCTGAGACACGTAGTTATACCAAAGTAATTTTGGAGTGTAGACCCGGGCTCAGAGAGGAGAAGCAGAGTTGTTCAGAAAGGAAGGGGAGAGAATGAAAGAGTATGAATCCAGCAGTCACAGGCCTCTCTCTAGACTCATCCAGCAGCACGAACGCACAGAGATGTAGCAAATGTGAGAGGACCTTTTCAAGATCAGAACTGTAGGGTTGTTGCCATCTTTCCTGCCCCCATTTTTAAGCAGGGCAGGTACCAAGTACAACTGGATGCAAAGACATAGGCACCAAACTTCTTCTGCAGTTGTCACCGCCCCCTACTTCTGCAACCAATCTGATAACTTCCTGCAACCTCATTCACACCCTGCTATTGTTTGCTCTGCATGGCGTTAATTTGTTGACTATCAGTTCTAGGTTCCACATTTAATCAACGGAGCTAACTGATCTCACCACTTATTGCCTTTAGTGCCTATCTGTTCTGCTTAATCAATTGATTGATTCTTTCCACTCAACCAACTGTCATTTAATTGCTACCACACTTACTTGTCTTGCCCAGCTGTTTTGCTCCTAATTAACTGCCAAGGCATTGATTATTGCCTATTTGTTCTGTTCTTATTTAGCTGATTTCATTGTTTCCTGATTGCCTTGCTAATTCACCATATAACTTGCTAGTACATTTATCATCTATGTAATCTCGTTTGGATTAATTAACTCATTTGATTATAGCCTTTTAGACCACATTTGCTGACGTGTACCCGAAGAATGGTATCCCTTTACCTACCCCAGCCTCCTACCTCGTACTTTGTTGTGTCATTGTCTTCCTCTCTACTTCTCCATCATCCATCTTCCCTTCCGTTTAACACTCATTATCCCAGAACACATGGATCCACATGGGGAGTTGTATTGGAATAACTACAGCTGCATAATTATATATATATAGTTGCAGAAGCAGGACAAATGTTTTCACTGGCACCGTTTGCATATCATAGCTAGGCTGGCACTGGATATGTGGCCCCAGGAGATAGCTTCCAAAGTGGAGAACATACTATTGACCCAGTAACACAATTACACACAGACGCGTAAGGACTTAAATTGTCGAACATGTCTTATGGGAAGATCAGTTTACAAAGGGACAAAGTCCAATTCTTAATTTATGTTGTATCCATTAGTCAGGAAGCAGAGACCACTGGGACACAGCAGGCAGCAAGATAACACAAATCATGGGAGAGGAGAATTCTGATGAGGAAGTTAGATAAGATTTATGAGCAACAAAAATTCATGTAAAGGAAGAGGAACAAACATGGATTAGAGAATTTGGTTGCAAATTCCAAGGCAGTACAGGGGATTTACCCAGGAATTTTAATAGAATACATGTAGCTAAACCCTCTGTACTTCTTTGAAAAAAGTCAACCCTTATTCCAAAGCAGCAACCTGGAAGACTCAGGGCTAGTCTACACTGGCAACACTAAAGCGCTGCCGCGGCAGTGCTTTAACATGGCTTGTGTGGTCCCGGCAGAGCGCTGGGAGAAAGCTCTCTCAGCGCTCTAAAAAAACCACCTCCATGTACACTGTCTATACTGGCGCTTGACAGCGCTGAACCTTGCTGCGCTCAGGGGTGTTTTTTCACACCCCTGAGCGAGGAAGTTGCAGCACTGTAAATTGCCAGTGTATACAAGCCCTCATTCTCTGAGAGCAGATGACTGAACTTCAATCCCATAGAGCGAGGAGACAGAATGAAGAGGTGAGCAGGTAGTGAACTGGCCTGTTCTGGAGTATGAAGCTCTGGTTTTTGTCTTATCTGGGTGGTTTCAACCTGTGCCCCTTTCACTAGATTGTAACAAGCTCTTCCTGCTTAACCCAGCTAAGTAGTGATGGCTTCAAAACACTTCCTGGATGGATAGCTGGGGTGCTGTGACCATTGCTTATTTCACAACTCTCTCACTGTTTAATTGTACTCCCCTTGTCTGCCCATTGTAATTACTTGTTGTCTGTTGTCAAGTCAAATTTATTAATAGCAACTTAGCCGTAAGCCAATGCACCAAAACCAAAACATATTACAATAAAACTTAAAAGTAAATCCAGGATTTTAAAATATTACAATACATATAAATAAAAATTTAAAAGAACATAAATCAGTTAAAACATATAATCACCATGCCATTTGTCTTTTCCTGATTTTAGCTGCTGGCCATGCAAATAGGGCAACCACTCGGATCACAGATACATTGTTAGTCCCTAATAAATATTCTGTTATCTGAGAGGTTGTAGAAAAAGGCGCCCAGGACAAAAAAAGCATGGAAAACCATTCTGACCTCAAGTGGCAATACAAATTACAGTATAATAAATAATAGGGTAGGCCTTCTGCCTGCCCAGAGCTGCATGGACAGAGGTGGTTACGTTTCTCAGTGCCAGTATATCAGCCTTCTGATTTAAGCTGTCTGCATAGACTGAAAACTGAGAGCTGTTAAGGCCCTCCTTAACTTGTTATTGGACAAACTCTCTAGATATCCATGAGTCTTTTTAATAAGGGGGAATCAAGGTGACATAGTTGTAATGGAAACAAGAGCCTTGTTTAGTTGCTTATTAATATCCTCTAATCTCAACTTGATTAGGGATTTCACATACTTAAACAAATCTAATCATTTTGAATTCTGGGAAGCCTAGAGAATGCAAAAAATTTTGAATATACTCTCACCAAGGAAATGTACATGATAAAGCCCAACTGAGCTGTTCCTCTAAGCACAGCCTTGGCAAACGTGGGTACATACAACGAATGAAAAAAGCCAAAATTAATATGTTTCAGAGTGATAGCCGCGTTACCCTGTATCAGCAAAAAGAACAAGGAGTATTTGTGGCACCTTAGAGACTAACAAATGTATTTGGGCATAAGCTTTCATGGGCTAAAACCCACTTCATCAGATGCATGCAGTGGAAAATACAGTAGGAAGATATATACAGAGAACATGAAAAAATGGGGGTTGCCATACCAACTCTAACAAGACTAATCAATTAAGGTGGGCTATCATCAGCAGAAGAAAAAAAACATTTGTAGTGATAATCAGGATGGCCCATTTCAAACAGTTGACAAGAAGGTGTGAGAAATAGTAGGGGAAAAAATAGCATGGGGAAATCGTTTTTAGTTTGTGTAATGACCCATCCACTCCCAATCTTTATTCAAGCCTAATTTAATGGTGTCCAGTTTGCAAAGTAATGGCTGAACTTTGTGACTTTGTCCTCACCCACAACTATTTCACATGTGGGGACAATGTATACCTTCAAGTTAGCGGCACTGCTATGAGTACCCACATGGCCCCACAGTATGCTAACATTTTTATGGCAGACTTAGAACAACGCTTCCTCAGCTCTCGTCCCCTAATGCCCTACTCTACTTATGCTACATTGATGACATCTTCATCATCTGGACCCATGGAAAAGAAGCCCTTGAGGAATTCCAGCATGATTTCAACAATTTCCATCCCGCCATCAACCTCAGTCTGAACCAGTCCACACAAGAGATCCACTTCCTGGACACTATAGTGCTAATAAGCGATGGTCACATAAACACCACCCTATACCGGAAACCTACTGACCGCTATACTTATCTACATGCCTCAAGCTTTCATACAGACCACATCACACAATCCATTGTCTACAGCCAAGCTCTAAGATACAACCGCATTTGCTCCAATCCCTCAGATCAGACAGAGACAAACACCTACAAGATCTCTATCAAGCCTTCTTAAAACTACAATACCCACCCGGTCAAGTGAAGAAACAGATTGACATAGCCAGATTGACATAGCCAGAAGAGTACTCAGAAGTTACCTACTACGGGACAGGCCCAACAAAGAAAGTAACAGAATGCCACTAGCCATCAGCTTCAATCCTCAACTAAAACCTCTCCAGCACATCTTCAAGGATCTACAACCTATCCTGAAGGACGATCACTCACTCTCACAGATCTTGGGAGACAGGCCAGTCCTCGCCTACAGACAGTCCCCCAACCTGAAGCAAATACTCACCAGCAACCAAGCACCACACAATAAAAACACTAACCCAGGAATCTATCCTTGCAACAAAGACCATTGCCAACTCTGTCCACATATCTATTCAAGGGACACCATCATAGGTCCTAATCACATCAGCCACACACCATCAGGGGCTCATTCATCTGCAACCGGACAGTCTCTATGCAAAAGAATAAATGGACACAAATCAGACGTCAAGAATTATAACATTC